GGGAAGGGAAGGGAAGGGAAGGGAAGGGAAGGGAAGGGAAGGGAATCTTTGCAGTACTGTGGGCTGGAGTGGATAAGCAAGGCAGCATGCTTCATCTAGCCTCAGCAGAAACTAAAAGGGTGCCCACTGGGCAATGCAAGGGTTGAATGGAACATAGCTTCTAGGGGTGAGAACAGTTCATTGACTTAATGTGCCATCCTTGAATCAACTGCAGGATTTTTTTTTTAATTGTAGAGAATATAGTAGCCTGCCAGCCTAGAATGAAATGGCTGGTTGGGACAGTGACCACTGGAGGGTATAGGGTGTGCCAGGCACTGCCAGTCAATCAGAACCAGGACTGCTCCTAGATTGGAACAAAGTGCTGAAGACCATCTGCTCTGAAGGGCTTAAGACAGTTCCAGTCAGAAAACATTAGTTTTGAACTGAAGCTGGAAACCACAGGTACAGGATGTATTTGCAATGGGCTGGGAGTAGGAGGAGGGCAATGTCCTTGGTTCCTGCAATCAGGGAGTGATGAGTGGCCCATGCTGGCAATGGACCAAGCAGAAAGTGCAGATCTGACCTCTGGACCTTAGTAAGTAAATCTTCAGATTCTTACCAACTTAATAATGCCTAACTTTACCAGTCCAAAATCTTATGCCACTATTCCGCATTGTCCTCTTTAACAGACTTATTTGAAAGACAAAAAAAGACCAAAAATAAATAAATAAAAATCTGAAATGGGAAATAGTTTTCGTAAATGGAAGTTGAGGAATAAGGCAGGGCAGCTTCTAAATAAACACCAGAAAGCACCCTTACCTTTGAAGGGCATATACGTTTTGTAGGGATGATAGTAGTATTATTACTACAGAAAGTAAAAAGGCAAAAAAAAAAAAAATAGAGAGAGAGAAAATTAGTTTTGCACTGAATTTGCTCTGGAATTTGAGTACAAACTGCAACATGAAATTAGAGGTAGAATGGTAGGCTGCACAGTCCACACTGGAGTTATCGATTAGAAAAACTCTTAAGAACTTAGTCAGTACTCACGGGCAGTTTGATTTGGTTGGAATAATCCTGTAGAGAGGTTTTATACATCAGATTGTGCTGAATACTAGTGTAGACTTTTCCAGAGAAAAGAAAAGAAAAGAAAAGAAAAGAAAAGAAAAGAAAAGAAAAGAAAAGAAAAGAAAAGAAAAGAAAAGAAAAGAAGCAGGCACTCTAATCTGGAGATAAACCATTTCTAAGATTCTGAAAGACAGCTGTGAGAGGCTTCACTGAACACCCATTCTTCTATTTACCCACTGTTCAGGATTTGCAGGTTCCAGTGACATTTCAAAGATCTGCAAAAGTAATCTATTAGCTGTGAGGTGAGCATGAACTATACACTGGGAATCATGTTTCTCTGGAGGCAGCATAAAATCTAACTGGGAAGAAGAGACTGGGCCATGCATTCCGCCCCTCTCTCCCTGGCATGTACACTTTTCTCCCTCAATCCCATTCAGCTGAAGGACAACACAGTGCTTTATGTGGTTTTAAGAACTCTGTGCAGGGTGCCTGATCATTCAAAACATAACTGTATTAACTGTCTTAAGGTCTTCCTCAATAAAATGGGAAGATGCAGGATGGCAGGACCAGAACTCAAAGGCATATTCTAAGCTCCCCTCCATGGCTGGACTTCACAAGCACCCAGAATGCGGTTGTTGGTTTTTAGTATGAAACTCAAACAGGCAGACAAAATGAAGTTCTCCATACCTGTAGTTGGGTACTATAATCATCTTCTGGCCTCTAGAATATCATAGACAGATACCTTCATAATATAGAACCTGCAGGACCTCAGGGACTGGTTCCCACTAGTATAATTATATGGTGCATGAAACTATGTGTGCTAATTTCACTTTGACTATGAGTCACTTCTATGACCCCAACTTTTCACCACCTCTTGCGCTGCATGTGCCTAAAACCCAGTAAAAATCTGATGTAAATTTCCAAAATCTCTGATTTCTTGCCACCCTTTTAACTGGGCAGATTCACAGCAGAGGAGGTAGTCCTTGAGAAAGATCAACACCAATACTTTTAACTGTTCTCATTAGGCAATTGGCAGTCAGTGGAATCCCTCTACCTTGCACCTTGTCCTGATGAGAGATGACACCCATTCAGAAAAGGTTTGTTGGTCCGTCCTGTACAGATGTAATGGGGGTAAAGATGTATGTCCTCTTTGGTGCATCCACAATCATACAACAGGGTTCCAGATAAGCCTCTAAAAAGGTCTTATGATTTATTTGATGTGATTTTTCCACCAGTCCTCCATCCTCTACCTATCCACTTCATTGCTCTCAACCATCTAATAAAGCAAGGTGTTAATTTAGCTCTTGTAGGGGAGAAGAAGTTTATATATGTCTTTTCTTTTTCTTTACTATGTTCTTCTTTTTTTTATTTTCTGTTTTTGCATTTTTTAAATTTTCTGGACTTTCTATTTTTCTTTTTTTCTTTTCTTTTTCTTAGTTTGTATTAGTTTTTTATCTTTTTAATTGTAATTGTAATGTTTAATAAAATTACTATATAAAAAAAGGATTCAATTTCCCATCATACCTCCCTCTGCCAGTTATACTATTCCCAGGTCATGCTTCTCCCCAACTCTTCCCCATCTCCCTGACTCTTCTCATAACACCAAGCCTCAATTAATAAAACTAGCAAAATGAAGCAACTCCAACAAATGTACACAGTTATATGAAAACAAAAGTATCAGGGTTTTCTTCTTCTCTCTCTCTCTCTGTATGTGTTCATGAATGGGTGGAGGAATGCTAGAAATGCTGCTGCTTCTTCTTCTTCTTCTTCTTCTTCTTCTTCTTCTTCTTCTTCTTCTTCTTCTTCTTCTTCTTCTTC